TCGTAACCAGGGAGTACATCGATGTAGTAGAGTCACAAAACGAGAGCGAAGAGAAAGAGAATCAGATAAGGTCAGAAATTCTATGTTCGTCTTCAGGATCGCAGGAGGAAGTGGGATTGAAACCTGGAGAGAGTGAAGGAATATCATGTTTGATTTGTATGGAGGTTTGGACCAATAATGGCCAACACCAAGTCTGGTATTCTCGATTCCACTAATTGTGTCAATCAAATTTTGGGTTTAGCATTTTTGATAAATTTCATGATCTATTTTAGAAGAAATTGGATAGTGTAGACTGTAATTTGCTGCCTGGTGTTGTCTATGTGTATGATTCTTTATTCGATGATTAGGTTTCGTCTAATTTTGTTTTTAGTGTTACTTATGTGTCTTCTCTTGTATGATTCAAGCTGTCTTCCTTGTGGACACTTGTATGGATTTTCCTGCATCAACAAGTGGTTACAGCAGCGGCGAAGTGCGGGAAAGGTGTGTGGTTGTTTTTCTGTAGTTATGCAGATCACGTTGCTGTTATTGCTGATTATATTGTGATCATATAGTCACATTGGTTTCTTTTATAGTGTCCACAATGTAACAGGACATGTAGTCTGAAAGATGTAAGGAAGATTTATGCATCAAGAATTGCTGCAGTAGATGATGAAGCACACAAGGTCATATATTGAGTGTTGTTCTAAAATATATTCATGAAAGCAAATCATGGTAACAAAATCTGATGTTTTCTTTTTTGTACTCGCAGAGAATTGTATTCCTCGAAGCCAAATTAAATTCAATTGAACAGAAGGTAAGATACACATACTGCTGGGATATTTCATGTTGTGGCTATACTCATTCCGCACTATTCTGAACTTAGTTCTTTAAAATTGCTTTCAAATCATTCAATAAGATTTTCGTGAGTCCTAAACTAAAACCTCTTTGTGTTCATTATAAGTCGTCTGTGTAGGTTATGCTCCTTGTGTTGATAGTAATGTATGTGTGTAGCCCCTTTTACCAGTATCGTAGAGTTTGAACACTATATTCTTAAATTTCATGTAGACTGCGGGTTGGAATAACAAAGAAGCTCAATGGAGAAAAATGGAAGCAGAGCTACGATCAGAAGTTAAGAAGCTGAAAAAGGTACTGTCTAAGAGTCAGTCGTGACATGGCCACTCTTAGTACACTGCTTTATGCCTGGAAAGGTGAAGATAGTGTATGTATACTGTTATACTAGTCGAGTCAGGTATAAATTAAGTTGGTTCGTATCATTTTAAAGGGACCTTATTCTGAGTAAGAATGTTTCCCTCCCCGACCTATCTTTAGCTTTAGTTTCAGATTTTTTTTTTCTTGGCACAAAAGTATTGCATGTCTCTCTTTAAGTTAGCGTGAATGGGAAGACAGGAATTTTGTTTTTGCAGAAGATAGCTAATATGGAAAGCACGACCAAGGGTGAACAGATAAAGTATAATGTGGCTTCTCAGGAGCATTATATACCTGGTAATTACACAGAACATGCATGGTTGGAACACATGCTGCTTTGATAACATAAAATCTCTTTATTTGATCAAATATTATATGGTTACCTTATCTGTGTTATCTAAAATCCTTTATTTGGTTTTCTATGAGTACACCATTTTGTTGGTTGAATGGAATATCCAATTTTCCATTAAGTAAGTAGAATTGATAGGCTGTCCTGCAATTTTTCCACTCCGACCTTCGGACTTAACTCATGGCATTTCATTACCCAAGCAGTTAGTAGAAGTTTTTTTTAAGTCGGATACATGTTTTCATTCCCTTGAAATATAATTCAATTATCTTTCTAAACGTCTGTAAGCGCATATTCGTAGGTCATAAGATCTACCAAGAATACCATGGACATGCACCTTCTTGCAGCTTCAGGCATCAGGTGTGGGATTATGTTCTATATCAGACCCAGTGTTCTATAATTTTTGCCTCAAGTATTGTTTGTATTGCAAATTTGTTCATGAGTTTGATGCAAATGACAAAGTTTCTTTTCATCCATTTTTTTATAGGGACAAATGCTAGTTAATGGTGGCCGTATATTTGACATCGACGGTGGTAGACAGATTGTATTAGTTGCACGTAGGCTCTCAGGTGTTGGTGGAGCGTTTGTGCTTACGCAAGTAAGTTTGTTATTCCTGGCCTTTTAGTTTTGACCTTACACCAGTTTAAATGATGAAACCACATGACATTTTCTTTTAAATATATTGCAGATGAGCCTACATTCGAATGAGATTGATGATATTCTGTTGCCTCCTACCAGTAGAGCAATTAAAGATCTTCACATTTCCCCTCACAATAATGGGCTTGCTGTATTTGGTTCTCTAGGAAAAAAACTGTCTGTTATAAGGTTTGGACATTGCTACTTTTTTAGGATGCCTTCATTCCCCTGATGATTTCCTTGTTGTCCTAATCACCTATCTGTTCAATTGTTCAGCTTGGAGAGCCACAATACTGTCTTATCTTATGATCTACCGGTAACTACAGTCTTTTGACATCTCTTATGAAAATTTGCTTGAAATTTGATATTATGGTCTAATCACTTGTGTTTATCCTTGTAAGTAATAGTCAGCAGAATATGTGTATGTGTGTGTATTTTGAAGAATGCTCTAAAGCTTTATAGTTTGTCTTATCTAATAGATTTGGGCCGTTTGGCCATTGTTGAATGAGGATCATACTTTATTGGAGATATTGAGCGCTGTTGTCTTAACTTCTGATCTTTTCTCAACTCTGGAAGCTATATCCATTGGATTTTTATGTTGTTTTTGCGTCACTGGATGAAGATATTTGTTTTCAAATGAATGTATTAACCTACATACATTCTCTTGTAGGCTGCTCCTTGGTCTTGTTCTTGGGATCGCAACAGTTCTCACCATATTTATGCTGGACTACAGGTTTAATCATTTTTTTCTTATTATACTCATTCCTACCTAAATTCCACTTATCTTCCTCTCTTAACCTTCTTCTTCGCAGAACGGAATGGTTTTAGTGTTTGACATGCGTCAAACCATTAGACCTTTCGCATCATTGACTGGCTTAAGAAGCAATCCAGTTCATACTATCCATCATCTCTCCCCCGATTCCACTCCGACTTCTGATGTCCGTTCCCTCTTATCCGCTTCTTCCATCGGGTTGTGTCAGTGGAACATTACTGGCAGCGAGGGAAGGTGAGATTTCAGAACTTTAGCATCTGCTTGGAGAAGTTTATCAATGCATCTTTATAGGCTGTAACCTGTTATAATTTCGTTTATTTTTGTTTAGGCCATCATTGGTTTCTGAGACAGAAAACCCAGGAGTTTGCATATCTTCTTCGTATTGTCCTCGCAGCGATCATGTAGTTGCTACTTATAGACCGAGAGTTGGATCTTCTGATGATACAATCCCGACTCAGCCTTCGTTGACTCAAACAGGAGTTAACAGTATAGGTGTAGATGGATTTCATGTTTGTCTCAAGAGAAGAGGTGTTGATTCTCATTATCAGAAACTGTCATCCACACGTGCTTCTGTAGATACCATCCGGTTGCCAAGAACAGCTATTATAGACTTTGGTGAGGAAAGGAAGCAACTTTTTGCATCCTGTGACGAATCCGCTCGCGAACTCATCTTGCAAGATCCTTCGTCTTTTATTGTCTCTCAACGGTTCCCATTGGCAAGTCATCATCCGCTTCAAGACGTGAAATATGCTCACGTGAATGGTTCCGGCATACTTGGTCTTTTAACCGATGATAGATTGCAGCTTCTTAGGAACGAATCGCCATGAAAAGGAAAAAGGTAAAAAACTTGTTGCTGCATATTATCACAATGTGAAATTCACAGTTAATTTGCTTACAAAAGTAACCTTACTTTGGTTTGATTATTTTGCAGGGATGACAAATGGTGTTTTTGATATGTAAAGCGACTAACTTCTCCTCCATCTTTTGTAACTATATTTTGCTATCAGAATAGGCAAATACTTGCATTAGATATGGTTTTAAATTGCTGCAGCAAATTAATTAATTTAGTTGTCTTCCTTTTTTGTATATACGAATTGTTTCATTATCAGCTTATGAATCATGGGTAGATTTTAGAAAAATATGAGAAAAAGAAACAAATTCCAAAAGAGACAAAAGTCATCTTTCGAAAATGGAAAAAAAATTTGTAAAAGAAAAAAATCCGACCTGCCGGAATCGAACCAGCGACCTAAAGATTTGTCTGATGGCTTACGCCTACTACAGTCTTCCGCTCTACCAACTGAGCTAAGGTCGGTCTTGCCACTTATAATGAGTACAATTAATTAAATACTAATATGATGTTAGAGAATCTAATGTTTTAATAAAAAAGTAATTAGAAGACACATTCCATTGGGTTTTGCTTTCCTTTTTCACGTTTTGGGCAACTTCTGGAACTTTTCGCAGCGAGCGAGGTTTCTTCTTCTTTCAGTCCACACCGGTCTTCGATTCTGCATTCATCGAAGCTTCCATTAAGCCAAGGTCACCTCTCTCTCTTCTCTCTCGATTGTCCTGGTTTTGATTTTGCGAGCTCAGCTTTTTCGTTTATGTGGATTGGAAACGAAGCATCTCCTTATCTTTCTCCGATTTTGAAACCCTTTTAACAGTTTCTTCTTTTTACCATGAACGATTTCGATTTTCAAGTTATGGGTAGAACAAATTTTAGGGCTTGGTCACTTTCTTGTTCTGATTTTTGGGTTTGATTATGTTGTGATCACTATTCCACATGAGTTTCTCTACCGTTTTGGTGCTTGTGAAAACTGTAAAGATACAATATTTTTGATGGGTTCCAGAAAAAATTATTAGGGTTCTTCATTTTTATATGCATTGCTTCTGATTGTAAGAATCCTGCTTTTGTTCCCAATATTATTCTTAAGACGTTGAGAAGAAGGAGAAAGGGTAGTTGTATAATGAACATGGTTATAGAGAATCTTAGTTTGACAATGTATATGTGTAGGTATAAGTGTTATATATCTCGTTTCTTGTTGAAGATGATTAAAATGTTTTGTTTTTTCCCCAGAGTCTTCTTTGCAAGCTTCAAGATTCGTGGGTTCTGATTCTTTGATTCTACTAAAGGGGTCTTTGTGAGGCGATTGTTTGCGCATTCAGTCGACAATGGAAGCTAATCATGATTCTGCCAATGTTTCGAGTAATCCGAGCAATGATAAAGAGGAATCAAGTGAGAAGATCTTTGTGAACCATGGTAAGCTTTAACACCCTTCACAATTTATGGTTTAAGGTTTAGGCATTTGGACTCGAACAAGGTTTAAGTGAACGAATTGGCTCATAACGGTTAACTAGTGTAATGTTAAGGCTAAAGTTCTTATAATTAGCACTTATCTTGCTCCTCTATTAGCTTAGTTTCTTTAGAAGAAATGCGAAATGTAAACTCATGGGTCTTAAACCGTGATTTCCTTTTTCTCGTGCAGCCGAGATTGCGTGGCAAGAGATGAGGAAGAATTGGATTGGAGATCCGTCGAAAAGGACTTCAGAGTTGCCAATGGAACCTGTGATAAGGTACATAAGAAAGCTTTAAGTATTTGCTCAGCACTTTTGAAACTTTAAAGCTTCATTCAGGTTTACATATATTAACTCCTTTAACTCTAAATCTTTTGTAGCTTCAACGCTACGTATGAAGACTTGCTTCTACCAAACACTCCCTTTCCCAAGCCCATCCCTCTAGCTGTGAGTTCCTACAACACTCCAAAAACACTTCCTCTTATTCTCAAGTTGAACCTTGTTCATCTTTTAATCTGCATTGTGTATTGATTTGGTTTGCAATCTTCTTTGCAGGAAATGGTTGATTTTTTGGTCGACTATTGGCACGGGGATGGTCTTTTCGACTAGGTAACCGAAAGGGGATGATCACTATTCTTGGTACAGAACTTAGTTTGCAAGCTCTAATCGATGATTTAGGTTTTTTAAAAAATCCACTTGAGATAATAGAAAGGAAACTCTGGGTTTTGTTAACGAATCCATCAACATATATAACATTTAATTATTACGTATTTTGGGATTTTACAAATTAACCAAAAACAAAAGGTGGGTGGATCATGCTTGTGTGTTTACGTTAGTTGATCAAATGATGTTTGACAATATAAATATAAATATATAACAAGTTAATGTGATATTTTTCTTTAGAAAACGTGTATGATCTTGATAAGA